AAAAGTTTTGAAAACTTAAATAATTTTCCAAATAGTTAATATTTGTAGCTAATTCTTAAAAATTGCTTCTTTTATTTAAAACTGTGAACAAAATTTTGAAAAGGTGCTAAAATTTGATCGGCTAATTCTAGCAAAACAGTTTTATTTCAAGATATTGTAATTTTATTTTTTGGGTGGAATACGTAAAAATATTGTGTCTTTTGACTAAACAGAATCGAACTTTTTCATTTGTAAAAGTTCAACAATGACTACCATATTCGAAATGGCTTCAAATAATTTCCAGATAATAAAGTTAAATAAATATTTTCGGTTTTGGTTTTCTAGGATTGTTAGTTGAAATAAGTACAAACAGCAAGAAAAGTAAATCAAACTAATTGTTGACATTTTTGAACTGCATGTTTTCTGGGGCTGTATATATTCGCCGAAAACTGTATTAGACAAAAATTAAAATAAAAGTGTTAATATTAAAAAAAGTTTTAATAAAAAAAGTGTATAATTTTAAAATCCTCTAATTGTCCCGACGAAGTTGACAGACTACAAAGCCATTGTCGGTTCCAGATAACCGGCTCTAGTTTTTGTAAGTAAGCTTGCAACGCGTTGGTGCTACTGCAGTGGTCACGATTTTATTGTTGATTTGCTGTTTGAACAAAATTAGATGTTTTTAGTATGTAGCAGTGGAAAGTCGTTATTAATCACATACCATTTCTGCTAATATGTACGCTTTTCAATCAAAGTTTTTGCCTAACGTTAAAGTTTTTGTTTCACCGAATATAGTTTTCGCCCCCATGTTTCCTACAGAAATTGTTGTCATCTCTAATATTTTTGATCTACAAAAACTGTTTATTTAAAAGCCTTAATTTAGCCAGCCGGCTCCAAATTTGAATCAACCATAGTAAATTTGAATTAACGGCCCAAAATTACTATCTTGAACATCTTCAACTTAAAAAATGCATGTGAATTAATCTATTCGCATGCGTTTTTTTTCAGTTGAAGATGTTGAAATGGTAATTTTGGGCCGGTGATTCAAAATATCGGGACAAAAAACCTAATTGAAAACTTAAACTGCAATTTTCCCAAATTACTGAGACAGAAGTTGATTAGAATTTTGTCTCAGAGTTAATATGGTGCAATTTTTTTGCGAAGTTCGGACCCAAATGTTATCTTTAAGAGTGGGTAATTTTTGCCTTTTTTTTAGTAAATCAAGAGTTAAGCCATAACCACTGGGTCAACTGTTAAGCACTTTATATCAATGTGACCCTCTTATGAAACCAATAGAGTTTATAAGTTGTATACAGAAACCAATCAATGTCTTGTTCAACTCTTGAAGCCTTGAGTTTGTATTATCTTTGTTCCTATTCATGGAATGGCATATAAAAATGGTTTTGAATGTTTCTTTTTGAAAATGTAGGTGCTTTTAACAATTGAAAGCATCTAAATTTTAAAAGAAGCACGTCAAATTAAAAATCAATTCTTATAGGCCGTTTTGTGAAAAGAAAAAATAATAATACGTATTCATGGCTGTTTTTTTTCAGATTTCTTCTAAAGCCTGCTGAGATATTGTCATTATATGAGACGCTTCGTCCGACTTTAAACCTTTCTATTCCATTTTTCAAAACGATAAAAAGAACTATGGCCAAAATAATGGGTAAATCTGAGGTATTTAGGGAATTTTTTTGTTATCAAAATTTTTCATAGTAGCAGTAGTGGATTTAGGGGGGCAGATGCACCCCCCAGGGAGTCGACCCCGTCGACCCAAAAGATTCCCCTTGTACTGTTTTGAGAAATCGATTTTTCGCAGACTACATTTTTTCTTGTGGAGCCTTCGGCGTCAATATGTAGTAATTGAGAGGGGGGATTTTTTTGTCATAATTTTCCAAAAAGTGCCCAAAAACACTTTTTTGGCCTGCTTTTTTAAATTTTGCTTGCGCCGCAGAAAATTTGGTCAAAATATGGTTTTTTTTCTAGTGATATGGGAGAACTCAGAAAATCAATTTGGTCGAGTTAAAAAAATTTTTGACTTTTTTAAAAATCGGCCTCCTCCCCTTCTGAGAAAATCTTAGATCCACCATTGTATACTGGTACAATTTTGAGTCTATTAGTGTGATTTTCCACGAAAAAAAAATGCAATTCTTTTGAAAGAAGATGAAAAAAAGTTCTATTAATGGAAACTTGGAAAGTCTTTTACACAAAATTAACTTGTTTCAGGGGAGCAATCTTAGTTCAAGTCAGGTTATATACAAGTGTAGTTTGTTTAGATCTGAATTTATTTTAAAGTTCATATCTGGATGATTTCGTTTTCCACTACGCAGTTAATTGTCAGAAATGTTTTGTGAATGGAGTTAATCTGTATGGTTACTAAAAGTTCAAGATATTCATCTGTTAAAAGATAATAAAACATTGATGGCAAAAAGGATTCTTTTTTTTAATAATGGAAAATTTTGGTTGCAAAATTTTTTAACCAAAAATGGGTATTGTTGATTTTTGAGTAATAAATTTCTTGTTCTACAAGGCCAGGTTGATAAATTTGAAGTTGAATGATTGGTTCTAAAAGCCGAAATTTAATTCTTCTTGTTAGCCTCCTACCAACTCCAAAAAGCGCAAAAAGGAGGGAAAATGATAAGATATTTTTTTATCATTTTTTTCGTTGTTTTTGTTCAAAATTTCAAAGAAGGTGATAAAATACTTGGCTCTGTTGTTTTTTTCTTCAAAACAGCCGTTTTTGATGAGGTTCTGTCTGCATCTGAAAGTTAGTAATGCCTTAAGTTCGAACTTAGGATGTTTCGCCGGTGGTTATTTTTTTGCAAAGTTATTTGCGTTTGAAAATCGCTGTGTTTTCTACTGAGGTTCTATCGACGAGAAGAACTATGATTTAGGCTATGTTTTCCTTTGACGACGTTGATTTTCTCAAGGAAAGCTCATATAATAATGAAGCCCCAGTGATCGTTATTCGGATTCCAAAAAACTTTCAAAACAATTGTCTCAGTGTTGAGAAATAATGGTGTAATTTTTTTAAAATCTGACTTTTTTCATCAATTTCAGTCGCTGTTTACTAAAATTTAACACGACAAAGGAGAAACAAGACTTAATGTTTATCGTGGCAAATCCCCGACTACTTTTTGAGGACTAAGAAAAAATTAAAATATTTTTATCACCCACACACGCTATTTAAAATACAATGGAAGATACATAGCGTCTCGTATCGTATTAAAAAAGATCGAATGGCTGGCCTCTATTCAATTTGGAATGATTTAGTTTGCAGTTTTGTTATGAGAAAGCAACTTATCGCGCGTTGACAATTTTCAAACCCCCTTAACTTTACAAAAAAAGACCACTTGAGCGCAAAACAATATTATCTTTTAGACGGTATAAAAGTTTAGTCAAAAACTTTTTTTTAAAAGTCGAATTAGACAATAAAAAACGTGAACCGAAGCATAAATATTTTGCCACATTTTTCGCAAGTCAGAAAAAACAACCACGTTTTTTTCTTAAATCAGTGTGTTCGAAACATGCAACCGGCTATCCTTATTCAATTGAGAGTTTTAGTAAGAAATATCCGGCTTTTTTGATGTTTTTTGGCTCTTTCATTGTTTGTACAGTTTAAGCGGGATATTTTGTCCTCGATTAGTAATGTACACAGATTGTTGTTCGGACCATTGAAAATGAGGAGAAACTTTGTATTCGGGTGTGTCTTAGTGTTTTTTTTTGTTTTCCACGCAAACGCAGGCACGACAAATAGTCATCAGAATGGGTTGAGTGATATATCATAATGAAGTTTTTTCAGTCGTGATTCGAATGACATTTAAAATTTTCCAAACAATTTTCCGGTTTTTTTTTTGATTTTGCGTCGAATTTTGAGCGAGAGAAGCGAGCGAGTAAGCTTATTACGTTTTTCAACCAAGAGAACTTGCCATAAACAATCATCGAATTGGTAATAGTGATATATCATATCAAGCCCATTTTGCCCTTATTTGAACATTTTAAAATAATTTTCGAAATGTTGTCCCAATGTTGAGAGAAACTGGTTTAAAGTTTGTTAGTTTTAGTTCAATTTCGCGCGAGTAAAGCAAGCGAGCATACATTTTATAGAAGGATAGGCCATGAATTTTTTAGTTTTACTTCAGTGAAAGTATTTTTAAAAGTTTTTTCAGCGCGGTCTTGACCATAAAAAAAATCAACAATTCCAAAAAATATCTGCAAATTTGGATTTTTTTCTTCTTTTTTAATGATCTTTCTTTTTGTTTTTTCTTTTGAAAAGATTAAAGCCCATTTTGCCTGTATTACTATGATTGTCAATTATGCCTAAGCTCTAAGCTTTGTCAGGTCCTTCTATTACAACACGCACAAAACAGCGATACTAGTTTGCAAAAAAAAGAGAGACAAAATCTATGATTTTTATAAGAATATGGTCAGAACATTCTGTGCTACTGGCTACCCTTGTTTTCTATTGTTGATGGACAATGTTTTAAAAAAATTTTAAAGCAAGTTATATTTACCCAAATATTAATTTCTTCCCACTAGTTTTCATCAGATAGACTTCAACTAAATTTATTTTCTTGTCAAATCTGAGCCATAGGAAACAAACAAACGAAACATAGTTTTTCTGCAAATTTCAATGCAATCCAAAACTCGGTTTTATTAGAATAGTAAAATTTATCGGCATTTAAGTAGTTTAGCCTGTCTGAGTTTTATCCATCAGTAATATGACCTTCAGTAGAAGTAGTTTCAAATCTGGTTAATTGGTTCCCTCTCTTACTACAGACGTGGGTGAAAATGTTTTTCTTTAAGAGATGTGTTTAGAAGGTTCAATAATCATATGTGCTCAACCGTTGAATTTTCGATGTAGTTTTTCATTGTCCATGTGATTTTCCTTACTAGATGCTATAGGGTTATTGTTACAAAATCTGCAGTTTCTAAAATGATGAAGTTGTTCTTGAAATTGTCTGATAGAAAGATAAAGTTTTTGCTTGTTAAAGAAAGATTGAAGGACTTTTGTGTTTCAGCTTGAACGACCTTGAGTTGTCAAAAATTCCTCTGGAACCAATTGACTTTTGCGCAACCGGCCTTTGCCTAACCAACTTTTCTTCAACATATTAGCAGATTTGACCTTGATTTCTGGTTTTCGAAGAAGTGAACATGAAAATTGAATGAAGGCCAGCTGTCAACATGACCTTGAATATTTAAACCATCAGAGAATCAGCGCCCTTATTCCCACTTACATTGAAGTTGGACTATCAATTAGAGGCATTGCTTTGAATTTTAACATCTAGAGGAGATTGATTCACTTGAAATGGAAGAGCAAATTCGTCAATCTAACCGGGAATTGATTGCCCTGAGTCGTTTGCCAGCCGCTTTACCCGGTGGTGAAAACCCGAGCCAGAGTCCTTATGATGAAACCGGGTTTCTGAATAAAGAGACACAAGAGCTTCTTAGGCGATTTGCAGCTACCCAGGAAAGACAGCACTCGCTTGGACTGTCACTGACCGGACCTCCGAATCACATGTCGCCCGTATCCAGTTATGGACCCCTATCAAGTCCAAGAAATTTTAACTCCCATTTCTCATCTAATGGAATAAGCCCGAGCAGATCAGAGAACGGACGCATTCTGGAGCACGAACAGTTAAACTCATTGGGAACGAATGTAAGAAGAAACCTTCAAATGATATCGCCGACCGAAATTAACCAATTGTCGCCAGGCGCTGGAGCTTCTACTATATCCTTTGGAAACCCTGGTAAGACTCCATCAAGTTATATGAATTCCCAACAGCAAGTAGCTCAGCTTTCGAATGACCTCGCAATGAACTCTTTACTTCGGGCTGCAGAAGAAGCCAATAGCGAAATGAGCAATGCCGCCATGAACTCAGTTCTACAAGAAACATTTCTTAGATCTTTGAACGGAGTACGAGTCCAGCCCGGGACTCCTAGAGGTTCTATCGATGCTACTCAAGCATTGACAACTACTTTGCAGACTCAGTATTTGAATCAACTTTTGCTTCCTCACATTTTGGCCGCACAAGCACAGGCCATGTCTAATGCAGCTCATCCTTCGCCGTATAACGCTAACATACCTCCAATGCCTGCTTTATTGTCCTCAGCCAATCATGTAGCTCCAAGCAACATCTCACCTGTTGGGGCGAACGTATCTTCTTCAAGCTCCAACTTAAAAAATCCGAGCCCAGCTCTAGCGCTTTTAGCCCAACAGAACCCGTTACTGTTGCAAAGTCTGACAGCGAATAGCCACCAGCACGGTCCAACAGTTAGTCGTTCATCAACACTTAACGTTGTCAATATTTCGCCGACTAGTGGTGCCGATTACAATCGAGATACAATTTTGCTAGACTTAACGTCTCACAAAAGATCGGTTATTACCCCTACGGCTTCTAAAAACCTAAGCGAAGCGCCAACTATAATAGTTAATCCAAAAGCTGAAGTAAGAGTCCAGCATATGGATGGATCTCTTCGTGAAATGCGACGTTCCTCCGATCCTGTTTTGAGTGGAATTGAATCTGTTAATGCCGACCCGAACTTAGAGTCTGAGAAGTTCTCGCGGATGCACCAAGGACTACTAGTCCCCGCAGTAACTGTATCGCCAAACAATCACGAAGCGAATCGACACGAATCGCTGCAGAAATCCGAAGCCGAGGTGCCGAAAAACGAGAAGGACACCTTAGTCGCGATAATTCAAAAGAATATCATGGGCCAGTTGCATAACCCGCGTAGGGATTCGGTTATTACCAACGGTAGTAACCAGAAAATCAATAACTTGGTTATAAATGATGCGAGGGTCAACGAAAACCCAGACTCGTTTCCAGGAAATTCAGGTCGGCAAAGTGGAAGCATAAATGTTTTAGATAGTTTGTTTAAAAGTAGCCCAGCTAATATCGCAAATGCAAAATCACAAGTTAGAAAGCGTAAGCATCGAGCTCGAGAAACGGTCACCGCTTCGGAGATTTTTAACGACGAGTCATCCCGAAGTGGGAGCAGCTCGCCTTCCGTTCATCCGGGATACCAGTCGCCGGCGCTTATGAGAAATGAGAACACCTTGATCTCGGCTCTCGCTTCTGACAACGGGGACAAAGTGTCGGCTATTTTGCAGAACGGAAGTGTAAATGTGCAAAGACAAGGTTCGTCCCCCCAACCGAATGGGACTGGGGGTGTGAATGGAGTGTCGAAACACGTGAATTTCAAGAAGAATTGGGCGGTGCAATATCAGAGACAGGAAACTGCACCCGACGTGAACAGCAATCAGGGATTCGTGAACAATGAAAATTCAACGGTCAGTTTTTTAGGATCATAATTAATCTACTTTCCGGCATTTTCATATCCCATCCCACCTATCGATAGGAATAATTAGATAGTGGGACTCAATTTTTGCAAACTTTGACCCAATCATTTTTCGATTTGTTATTTACACTTGCGCGCTTCAGCGAGTGTAGTGTAATAGTTAAAAACTTACCTTTACCTTTGAATCATATTAGCCACAAAGTAGCGTTATTTGAGCGGGTTCCTGTTGCTTAACACAGTTTATCAAGAATATTGAACTAATCAGATAAGTGGATCCTAATATTAAACTGGACGCAGCTTTTTGTTCTGACCACCCCTAGTTAGGGAAAAAATAAGAACGAGGGTGGGAATTCTTGTTTATCAAAGAACCAGGTACTACAAAAAATGAGCTCCTTTTCTCTTCCCCCCACATTGCGCGAGCATCAATTTTATGGTGTAACGAGTGGTTTTACAAGTTTAAATATGAAGACCAAATATGTTTGTCATGGCCAAATTAGCCGCGTGTCAAATTTCATAACAATCGGAAAATGTGAACAATCACTTTTTCGTAAAATTTTTTTAAGTGGGGGCGGGGGCAAGAAAAAGAGCCGAAATATAAAGACCTTGAACAAAGTCGAGTAATGCATCTTATAAAAGCCCTTTCATTTCAGTTGAGATTTACATTCCAAAAAATGTCTGTATCGAAAAAAACTGTTATGATAATGAGTGTTTTGCCGCTCGGCGATTGTTTGTGATCATATATTATTAAATCAAGTCAATTGTAGTTTAATTTGAAACTGATAGTCAATTTTCTCGCAACGCATGAAGAATGGGGATTTTTTTTATTTTCGCCCCTGCTGCTGTGGTCGGATCATTCTGTGCTACTAGTAATCGGAACACTCTGCTATTGTCGTCGGAACAATCTGTGCTTGTTTATACGTTTTCAACGTGTCTTTCTAATTTTTTTTCAATTTAAAATCATGTTCTGATATCTGTTCAGTCAAAAGTCATTCCAAATTTATGGTACTGCTATGTTTCAAAGGTCATCAAATGATTGGTTGTGAACAAATTTTTGTCGACCTAGATTTCTGACTCAACTGATCCTGTTTGTCTTAAACATTATTTCAAAAAGTTCATACCGATTTTTCTTCATTTTCTCTCTTATTAAATTATGATGCTTGATTCGATGAACGACAATTGGATGCAAGGTCATTCAAATTTTGAGCTCTTTGTAGAGCATACTCCTGTAATAATTTGGAGACTTTGTTTGAAGAGAAAAAAAAGATTAATTTTTTGTGGCGTTTAGAATGAAATCAAGAAACCGAAAACCAACTCATCACTTTCTGGAGGAGGTCAACCCCAGGGGTCAAATGGGTTCGTGTCTGTATCAACCCCACATCAGCACGTGACTAATGGTGTGAACATCATTGGGGCGAAAACTGGGGCTCGGAGGGGCAGTCGGGAGACGATAGCTGTGAGCGAGATATTCACCAGAGAAGGTACACCACAGGGGGGAGGGGGAGGGGGAGCGTCTCCTTTCAATGCTTACCAGAGGGTCCCCATTCAGCAGAGCAACTCGGTCAGTCGTTTGTGGAAATTTACATCTAAAATAGATTAATTTGGCTTTTTTCACAAAAAAAGAACGTCGGCTGCATGGCGCACAGCAGAAATACCCAAAATTGTTGGGCTAATTAGGGTTGGAAAACTTCGCATCGGGTGTTTTTCTTACAAACCACTAAGATATATCATGCATTTTTCTAATTTTTTTAACGGATCTTTGCACGTGGATCATGCATTTATCATGCATTTCCTCACGTTTTCGGTTTTTCAAAAATAGTTCAAGTAATGAGTTCTCTAACATTTTTCCTTTTTCTCTCGACATGCATGGGGGAAAATAATTCTGCCCAAATATAACCAAAATTTAATTTTATCTTCCATTTTTTTCCGGGTATTGTGGCAAAAAAGGAGTTTGAGTTTGTTTCAGCCTGATTCGTCTAGTGGTTACAGCAAAACCTTAGACGTTGTCGGCGCCTATCTCCAATCCGACACGTGCTGCGTGGTAGCTCCGAAGCCGAACTTGATGTGTCGCGATTGTCGTGCCCGCGGTACAAGTACCACAGGCTCGAACACTCAGTCGGCTCTGAAAAACACTGCGCGATGCAATAGCACCGGGAAAACTTCGTGTCGTTTCTCGTGTTTCCGAAAGTTGAAAAACTCTAAAAACAAGTACCCTTCAGTCGTGGGATTTCTTCAAGCCGAGGTTGACGCTAAAGACGAAGATTTATTCATGTGGAAGGTTTTAGAAACCAACTTCGAAGCTTTGAATTTTGCCGCCCAGGGCGTTTCCCAGTACTCGGAGTTCCAAGAATACCGGAAGGTGGCTTCAAGACCAGACAAGGCTATTTTTAGAATCGAGCAAGTTGCAAACTTTTTGTGCGCCATCATTCATCAAGAACAACTTGTGCACAATTCATACCGAGAACCAGGTCAGTGCAAATTGAGTTGCGCTTTTATTTCGTTTAAAAGTTCCTTTTTTATGTTCAAAGGAACTCCAGCTCTGGAAAAAATGTCGGCCTGAAGAAGAAATTCGACCTGTTTTCTATGATGCGCGACCCGCTTCTACCTTTTACTCAGCAAACAAAAAAGGAAACAATAATTAGCTCAAAAATGTCTTAAACGATCTAGTTCTAGAAAGAGAAATAATGCTATGACAAATTTTAAACATCAATATGTTCGTTTTTTTTCTCACATGTCAATTTTTTTGGCATATTTGCAAAAAGGTTACAATGTAAATTTTTGTTTGTTTTTTAAGCTAATGTTTGCAGAAAGTTGGAAAGGAAGTTTTTGTTATTTAAATCACCAGAGGGTCTGTCTAGAGTAATTTTACTTAAATATGGCTACTTTAATTTGAAGGTTTGTTTTGTAGTATACTGGAAGCGATTTATGGGCGGGTGTCGTGAATTGTGTGACGTCTGTTCCACCTCTCTTTTCAACCTACACTGGCTCTGTCCCAAGTGTGGCTTCGTCGTCTGTCTGGACTGCTATGATTGCTACCAGGAGTCCAAACTGGAACTGGGAGTCCTAGGCACTGCAGAGACCCAACAGGACAAACAGGGAAGAGTATGGCTCAAGTGCACCAAGGTATGAACAAATGGACCCCTCGAGTTTTTCACCAACCCTCGCCCCCCCCCCCCCCGCTAGTCGACCTTCAAAAAGATTGCCGGCGTCCTTTTACAAAACTAGTCAACATATGGGGATTCATGGGCCATTTATCGCCGCTTCTCATAGATCAAAATGATCTCAAAGTAGCAAAATAGCTTTCCTGTTTATTTGTTCTCTTTTTTCTCGACAGGTGCCCCATGGGAGGGAGTGTCTGAAGTTGACCCACTTCATCCCCACGAAGTGTCTGCAGAGTCTTCTCTCTGATCTCCATCTGCAGTGCAAACGGTGGACCATCTACCACCAGTGCCAGGTATGACGTCATGATTGCATGTATATGTATATCTTCCAAGTGAGGGTGGACCATCTACCACCAGTGCCAGGTATGACGTCATGATTGCATGTATATGTATATGTTCCAAGTGAGGGTGGTCCATCTACCACCAGGGCCAGGTATGACGTCATGATTGCATGTATATGTATATCTTCCAAGTGAGGGTGGTCCATCTACCACCAGTGCCAGGTATGACGTCATGATTGCATGTATATGTATATCTTCCAAGTGAGGGTGGACCATCTACCACCAGTGCCAGGTATGACGTCATGATTGCATGTATATGTATATCTTCCAAGTGAGGGTGGACCATCTACCACCAGTGCCAGGTATGACGTCATGATTGCATGTATATGTATATCTTCCAAGTCAGGGTGGTCCATCTACCACCAGGGCCAGGTATGACGTCATGATTGCATGTATATGTATATCTTCCAAGTGAGGGTGGACCATCTACCACCAGTGCCAGGTATGACGTCATGATTGCATGTATATGTATATCTTCCAAGTCAGGGTGGACCATCTACCACCAGTGCCAGGTATGACGTCATGATTGCATGTATATGTATATCTTCCAAGTCAGGGTGGACCATCTACCACCAGTGCCAGGTATGACGTCATGATTGCATGTATATGTATATCTTCCAAGTCAGGGTGGACCATCTACCACCAGTGCCAGGTATGACGTCATGATTGCATGTATATGTATATCTTCCAAGTGAGGGTGGACCATCTACCACCAGTGCCAGGTATGACGTCATGATTGCATGTATATGTATATCTTCCAAGTGAGGGTGGACCATCTACCACCAGTGCCAGGTATGACGTCATGATTGCATGTATATGTATATCTTCCAAGTCAGGGTGGACCATCTACCACCAGTGCCAGGTATGACGTCATGATTGCATGTATATGTATATCTTCCAAGTGAGGGTGGACCATCTACCACCAGTGCCAGGTATGACGTCATGATTGCATGTATATGTATATCTTCCAAGTGAGGGTGGACCATCTACCACCAGTGCCAGGTATGACGTCATGATTGCATGTATATGTATATGTTCCAAGTGAGGGTGGACCATCTACCACCAGTGCCAGGTATGACGTCATGATTGCATGTATATGTATATCTTCCAAGTCAGGGTGGTCCATCTACCACCAGGGCCAGGTATGACGTCATGATTGCATGTATATGTATATCTTCCAAGTGAGGGTGGACCATCTACCACCAGTGCCAGGTATGACGTCATGATTGCATGTATATGTATATCTTCCAAGTGAGGGTGGACCATCTACCACCAGTGCCAGGTATGACGTCATGATTGCATGTATATGTATATCTTCCAAGTGAGGGTGGACCATCTACCACCAGTGCCAGGTATGACGTCATGATTGCATGTATATGTATATGTTCCAAGTGAGGGTGGACCATCTACCACCAGTGCCAGGTATGACGTCATGATTGCATGTATATGTATATCTTCCAAGTCAGGGTGGTCCATCTACCACCAGGGCCAGGTATGACGTCATGATTGCATGTATATGTATATCTTCCAAGTGAGGGTGGACCATCTACCACCAGTGCCAGGTATGACGTCATGATTGCATGTATATGTATATCTTCCAAGTGAGGGTGGACCATCTACCACCAGTGCCAGGTATGACGTCATGATTGCATGTATATGTATATCTTCCAAGTCAGGGTGGTCCATCTACCACCAGGGCCAGGTATGACGTCATGATTGCATGTATATGTATATCTTCCAAGTGAGGGTGGACCATCTACCACCAGTGCCAGGTATGACGTCATGATTGCATGTATATGTATATCTTCCAAGTGAGGGTGGACCATCTACCACCAGTGCCAGGTATGACGTCATGATTGCATGTATATGTATATCTTCCAAGTGAGGGTGGATCATCTACCACCAGTGCCAGGTATGACGTCATGATTGCATGTATATGTATATCTTCCAAGTGAGGGTGGACCATCTACCACCAGTGCCAGGTATGACGTCATGATTGCATGTATATGTATATCTTCATAGTGAGGGTGGACCATCTACCACCAGTGCCAGGTATGACGTCATGATTGCATGTATATGTATATGTTCCAAGTCAGGGTGGTCCATCTACCACCAGGGCCAGGTATGACGTCATGATTGCATGTATATGTATATCTTCCAAGTGAGGGTGGACCATCTACCACCAGTGCCAGGTATGACGTCATGATTGCATGTATATGTATATGTTCCAAGTCAGGGTGGTCCATCTACCACCAGGGCCAGGTATGACGTCATGATTGCATGTATATGTATATCTTCCAAGTGAGGGTGGTCCATCTACCACCAGTGCCAGGTATGACGTCATGATTGCATGTATATGTATATCTTCCAAGTGAGGGTGGACCATCTACCACCAGTGCCAGGTATGACGTCATGATTGCATGTATATGTATATCTTCCAAGTGAGGGTGGACCATCTACCACCAGTGCCAGGTATGACGTCATGATTGCATGTATATGTATATCTTCCAAGTGAGGGTGGACCATCTACCACCAGTGCCAGGTATGACGTCATGATTGCATGTATATGTATATGTTCCAAGTCAGGGTGGTCCATCTACCACCAGGGCCAGGTATGACGTCATGATTGCATGTATATGTATATCTTCCAAGTGAGGGTGGTCCATCTACCACCAGTGCCAAGTATGACGTCATGATTGCATGTATATGTATATCTTCCAAGTGAGGGTGGACCATCTACCACCAGTGCCAGGTATGACGTCATGATTGCATGTATATGTATATCTTCCAAGTGAGGGTGGACCATCTACCACCAGTGCCAGGTATGACGTCATGATTGCATGTATATGTATATCTTCCAAGTCAGGGTGGACCATCTACCACCAGTGCCAGGTATGACGTCATGATTGCATGTATATGTATATCTTCCAAGTCAGGGTGGACCATCTACCACCAGTGCCAGGTATGACGTCATGATTGCATGTATATGTATTTCTTCCAAGTCAGGGTGGACCATCTACCACCAGTGCCAGGTATTACGTCATGATTGCATGTATATGTATATCTTCCAAGTCAGGGTGGACCATCTACCACCAGTGCCAGGTATGACGTCATGATTGCATGTATATGTATATCTTCCAAGTCAGGGTGGACCATCTACCACCAGTGCCAGGTATGACGTCATGATTGCATGTATATGTATATCTTCCAAGTCAGGGTGGACCATCTACCACCAGTGCCAGGTATGACGTCATGATTGCATGTATATGTATATCTTCCAAGTGAGGGTGGACCATCTACCACCAGTGCCAGGTACATGATACATAATGCAGTACCTTGATATCATTAATTCGTGCAATTTCAAAACATATATGTTTAAAACATGATTGGCTAAAAGTTGAAATAAGAGACAAACTAACATCTGGCGGTTTTAGTTTGTCCAATAGTTTATATCATTACATCATTTATTGTAAGGCTTTTGCAATCGGGTACAAGACTTTTTTCTCTTAAACAACTTTGTTCACAGGACTCAATTCATATCTCCTGGACTCCCTCATCTTCTGGACATGCTCAATTTTTTGAAAATTCAAATAAAACTACTATAGTTTGAAGTAGTAATTAGGTAAAGCCCGTTTAAGGCTGTAATTTTTTCAAAAAATTTATCAATTTTTTTCGGGTTCGTAGTTTTCGTCCTGGTTTCCGTCGGTTCTTTTTCCGTTTTTTTTAAATGCTATTTTTTGACTGACGGTTTTTCTTGGCGTACTTTCTAGAGCATGCGTTTTGTTCCATTGTAAACAGTTTTTCTACTACAACTGAAACTTCAGTAATTTGTAAATTTACCAGGTCCGATATTGAGTTTTTTTTCTATTTTTTTTTTCGTTTCTTTTTCTAAATATTTAAACAGTTTCAATTTATGTTGTATCGGCTCAGTCAACTTTTATTGCATAATTTTGAGGGCAAATATTTTCGCATGCGATTTTGTGTTACAGATTGGATGGGTCCTAAAATTTTTAAAATCTTAATGAAGCTTTTTATGACAACAGTTTTGTTTTCTTCTCAAACAGGTTTTGACCAAAAATTTTTTGACGCTTGCTAAATCATTTTCAATTCTTTTAAAGGCTGTCAAGTAATTTCAACTTATTTTCAGAAATGTTTAGTAAAATTTTCAAAATCTTATTTCCAGAATTTTTTGCATCGCAGGTGTTGCGAGGCTCCGCTTCGCCTCTGTAAAATTTCGGATAAGCTCGGAAAATTACATTGCTCTCAAATTAACAAAGACTCTCAGGATTTTATTTGCTTCAATTTAAACCCTTATTTTTGAGTGGATGTTCAACAAACTGCTATGTATATAAACTGCTATATTTTGAAGCCAATAATTACGAAAAAACTGCATAACAACAGTGAAAATTTGTTCTTATGTTAAATAACAAGATTAATTTTTGGCTTTTTGGCGTCCGTAGGCTTACAAACTATTTTGGTTTGATGATCATTTTTACTCAAAAACTATCCAGATTTAATGTTCTTGAGGCAATTTTTTTTGTTTATCAGCTACTTCAAAACGTGGACAATGACCAGTTCCCGACTCTGAACTGTCTCATTGACCGGAAGAACTGCGGACTCGCATTCCAATCAGTCTGCTCCTCAAAGGTCCCCTCACCTATCTGTGGTGTGACCTCAACATCATCCCCATCCCCACCAGTCGCTCCACGATGCTCTCGTGAATCGTCATCAACTGACACAATTACGCCGACAACAATAAACGAAGCCGCATCCCTAGTTTCCGACAATGAAAGTAGCCGAGAAGACGTTATCAAGGGTTGTCTGTTGGAAACAAACGGCAAAATTTCATCGTCTGGTGAAAATAAATCTGAGAATATAGTTATTGACCCGAAATCAGAAGAAATGGATTTTCAACTTAATGTCGAATATCGCGATCAAAGTAAAAACGAGCATCAAAATATGGAATCAATGGAATCAAAAATCACAAATGGAGCTATCAAAACAGAAAATGATTCGAGATCTCCAGAAAAATTGAACGAAGTTCTGAATAAAGGAACCGAATTCGAGTTTGAAGCGAACTTAAAACGAAGGCGGTCACTGAACTCGTTCATCGATAAGTTAGTCGAATCAAGCATGAACAACCCTATAGTCGATGCGAAGATTTCACGCGAAGATTATCTCAAGTTACTCAAACTTTCAACGGTAATGGAGACAAAAGTTCCGAGAAATTGGGAGTTGGGGTTGAAAGAACCCGGGAACAAATTGAAAGCTTGTGAGCAGCCATCGACAACTCAGAAAGTGCAGTCGGATTACGTAATCGCATTGCGTGATAAATGTAGGAATGTTGGGGGGAATGGGAATAACAGCTCGTTGATGCAGTTCGAGGCTAGTCAGATTGGTCACATCGAAAATGCCCAGTTTTCAGTCGAGTGGAGATTGAACAGAGTAAGATGATTTTAATTTTGATCTTGCCAGTTTGAAGATGATTTTCATTTTGATCTTGCCAGTTTGAAGAATTTTTTGGACTAGTTATTGCAAGTTTTTTAAAATCAAACTCTGCTCAGTTCGATAGATTGATGAATGTTTCTCATCCAACTCATTTTGAAAAATCGACTGATTCCATTTAGCCCGTGATAGTGAGAAGTTGCGGGGCCGACAAAGCGCAACTGCAGAACTTCTTCACCCCCGAGTTCTTCTCCAAGTCGTTCGGAAGTTGGAAAGTGGATCTCGTGGACTGCAGAACGGGTAGAGTGCACCCGATGATGTCGATGGAGAAGTTCCTCCAGGGCTTCGTCGACTACTCGGCCAGACGACAACACTTCGGCCAGCTGTCCAACGGGTGTGAGGTGCAGACGGTGCTGAAACTGAAGGACTGGCCACCCGGAAACGACTTTGCAGAAATCATGCCTAAAGAAAGGTAGCCGCTGTTTCAAACTTCCATTTTAAAAACTGGCTGGTTTTTAGTTGAGCAGTCACAGGCCTTCATAACTAGCCCAAAAATTAGTTATTTAAGTTTAATTCCCTCGCCACCCCCCCCCCCGCCCTCCGCCTCGTACGATCATTATTTTTATCGTGGGGTTTTAAAAGCAAGACCAAATATGTTTGTCATGGCTTAATAAATCAGCACCCGCATGTCAGTTTCTATAAATATTGAACAAAGTGAACAACCATTTTATAAAAATTCGATCGCAAGTGGGGGGGGGGGGGGAGAACCCTAACTGGTGAACCTATGATTTCAAGAAAGATTCATCGCCACTAACACTTGTGTGACGATGCCACTTCTGTTTGCATGAAGAGAGATTAGTTGTTTCCTGCTAATAGAAATCACAGATTTCAACTTGAGAAATAACATCATAATTTAGGTCTATCAGTTTATTCAGACCATTGATTTATTGTCGAAGGAAAGGTTTAAGCTTTTCACTGTTGAGCTCTTCGCGGTTAAGACTTACATTCACCAGCGGATTTGTAATTTTTTTGAAAATCTGGCCCCCCGCCCTGGAGAAAATCCTAGAACCACCCCTGCATACATTATTTTTTTTTCTGCATGTTGATGATGATATAATACAGTACCTTTAAATAAAATGAAAACGGCAGAATTTTTTTAATTCACTGTTTTGTATCTGATAACTTTGATTTATCTAATAAATTGAATGATTACTAATCTGATTGCTGGTTTTCGTTTTGAAGTTTTTGCAAAATTGTGTGACATTTAGTTTCTCTTTCAGTCATCAGCTGCTCATGGACATTATTCCGCTTCCCGATTACACCATGCGAGCGGGGGGCTACCAGAGTAGTTCCAATGGGTCGACGGGTGGGGGAGTGGGCGGAGCTCTTAATCTGGCCTCCAGTCTGCCCTCATTATGTTGTGCACCTGACATGGGACCCAAGATGTTCATAGCATACGGTGAGAAAAAAAACAACCAAAAAATTTAAAAATAAAATAAATAATGAAGTTTTGGGAGCAATCGGATAAATCTCAAAAATCCTATTAAATTTTTGATTAAACTAAGTTTGCTCAAGATTTCAATCAATTTTGAACCACGTCATTATGGAGGAACAAATTTTGACAAAAAACAACCGAATGATTTGACTTTGCCATATTAATATATAAACCTCAGTTTATTTGATGAAAAGGTCGCTGCTTGTTCAAATGATATATAGATAACTTGAAGTTTTTTTCAATAAAATTGACAACAAATTAATTCAAAAAAGATAACGATACGATAATTCGAAAGCAACTTGTTAGCGTAGAATTGATTCCAGGGTCTCCGAATGAGCCTTCTCTCGGTTCGACGAATCTACACGTAGACATGTCAGATGCATGCAACATTCTGATGTACGCCTGCTCGGCCAACCGAGACTGCGACCAGACCACATGCACAGAGGAGAACACACTCCTCATGAAAGAAGTGGCTGCCTATGGGGGCGAAGAGGCGCTTAGCCGAATGAAAAATGGAGAAAAAGTGGGCGCTGTCTGGAATATTTTCAATACGGACGATAACGAGAGACTGCGCAAATTTCTCAGGCTAGTTTTGGGAGATATTAAAACTAATAAAAAGACGTCAGCTTTTATAACTGCTACATAGGAGAAATGTTTGTTTTAGCACTTTATTTGCAAATTATCTATTTTTCTAGTACTTTATTTGAAAATGAAAAAAAAAATTCTAAAAATGAGTTTTAAAAAAGTGAAATTTAATCTTGAAATATTGAAATTGAGTAAAAGAATAGAAAAAACAAATCTGAATAAAGTGTCTGCCTATATAAAAAACGAAGAGAAAACTATTTTAAATAATAATTTTTGTTTTTAGGAACGAAGCTGAGTTGCAGCATAAGGCGTACAGATGTGACGATGACCCCATTCACGACCAGGACATCTTCCTGGGTCCAGAAAGACTCGGCAGACTAAAACGGGAGGAGGGGGTGGAACCATACACTCTGGTCCAGTTCCAACACGACGCAGTATTCATTCCCGCTGGTGCGCCACACCAGGTATAAATGAACAATAGAATTCTAGGTTTGGAACAGAACATCGCAGGTTCGAATCCCGGTAGACTTCAAACGTTAAATCGAACTACAAGATCATCGAATCAGTAGCAGTTGCGAACATGAATCAGGGGTTCGAACAGTGATGTCCTAGGGTTTTAAGCCGACAAAATGTGTCGCTTTTTTTGATGTTTAAGCGATGCTTTTTTAATGTTTTTAATGAAATAAAAAATATTCTGAATGGTGCATTTAAACTCATAATAAAGGCAAGCGAAAATAAAATTAATATACATACAAAACGTTTTTTTTGTCCTGACAATTTTTCTGGGAATGGCTTCAATTTCCGTTTTTGTTTCAGGTTCGCAATCTGAATTCGTGCATTAAAGCCGCAGTCGACTTCGTGTCGCCCGAGAGAGTGAAGTATTGTCTGCAGACGACAGACGAGTTCCGGAACCTCTCGGATAGACATGCGAATCACGAGGACAAACTGCAGATCAAGTCTGTCATCTACCACGCAGTCAAGGACTGTTTGTCAGTGCTGAAAAACACGCCGATCACGTGACCGAAACCAAGTGACAGACACAAGTCACGTGACACAAATCACGTGAGGCTAATGATAATATCAACACCCGCGACAGCTTAAAATAATGACAACGAAAGTATATGCCTTGACTTGAAAACTATCCAAAGACAGACTCTTATTACAGTTGACTTGTTTTCTAGCTCCAGTTATCATTCAAAAATATCAACAAAAACCGATCTAAATATCTCCAAATGTCAACAAAAGCGAATAAAGAGTAGCAATTTTTACCAAAAAAATAAAAATTTTGAAAATTTCAATTAAGTGTACTCCGGAACTTAGTTTATGGTTAAAATTTTTTTTGAAAAGTACACAAGTAGTAAATAGTTTGTTTTATGAATTTGTTTTCTCACTTATCGGTTATTATTTACTTTACGCCGATTGTGTAGTGAATTGTCGTCGATTATGATATATAGCGAAATTTTATGTTGTTTTGTAATGAATTTAAAAATTCTTTCCATCAATTAAGTCTCCAAATATTTTTCCATAATTGTATGAATACGCAATAATTTACAAAAAATATAATTCTTTTTGATCCGACAAGAGTAAGCTTGGAGCCCACTATAATACTTTCAAAAAACTTGCATACGTTTTTCCAAGAAATATTTTGAAGCAAAATGAACAAATGTCATAAGACATGTTACTCTGTACTACTTATCGTCGCCTCCCCCCGCAACACAAATGCCTTCTTCAAAGACCTCAGCCCCCTAGAATATTGATCCCTCTACAATTTGAATGCCTAAACTGCCCCCCCCCCATCCCAGAATTTTAAATTATAAATTTTATAACCAAATTTTTTGAAAAGTATTCAAATTTTGAGGGCATCAAGTTGAAAAAAAAAACTGTTTTTTCAACGCAAAAAAGATTTCTGGATTAAATGACTAAAATTTTGTGACAATTGGAATGTTCAACCAATTTTTTGGCTCGACTTTGTTATAATATTTTACAGAATTAATCCAAATTTTCGGGACCCCTTTGATAATTTTGAACCCCCCGCAACCTAATGCAGAGTAATTGTAGACAAAATATCAAACCAACGAGGTCAAATCCCCACGTTTTCAGGAAGTGCATCAGTTTCAAGTAGAAAACTCCCTAGTCAAAAGCATAATCCCAGCCCTTAAAAAAGAATGAGCTATAGCTTCAAATACAATAATTTGCAATTTTTTGAAGTAGCTTCCTCACATTATAATTAAATAAATTCAAGGAAAGTTCAGCTTGCATGAAAGATCTGGTAACATTTTCATGAACTAGCAAACCGGTTGTAAAAACAGCGACTGAAATTTTCTGAAACTTGACAAATTTTTCATGCAACGAAGTCGATTTTTTTATGTCATTTATCAACTGTATCCGAAATGTTTTTTCGATTTATTTCGTTTAAGTCAATAAGCGATAAATCCAGACCGTGCAAAAAATCCATCGAAACAAAAAAATTTGAAAGTTACAAAACAAGTTGCATGGAGTACATTGCTACAATGTTTCCTATACAATTGCAAGGAAAGTTTTTAGGAGCTTCAGTTTATATCATATTGCAGAAATTGTTCTCTGCAGACTTGTGAAAAGCAGATAAGACGCCAAAAAGTGCTTAATTAGATAAATGGAGATTAATCCAGAGTATTTTTTAGGAAGGACGCTGGTTTGCTCCGAAGTGGGACGACTGTAGAAATTTTGATTATATAGTGAAACAATTTTTCGTCAACCCAAAAAATCATCCAGTATGAATTATAAAAGCTGAAAACAGAAATTGAACTAAGTTTTTATGGGAATTTAAATGCTCAAAAAAACCCTAAAATCTTTCTGGTTCCAAATTTCCACCATTTAAAATATGAGAAACAAACAATGCAAACCTCCACATTCCTTGATTTGTTCCTTGCGTTCTTAGAAAAAAAACATTTTCAAAAAGTTTCTCTATCCAGGTAAAACTACAAAACTGGGCCCACATACATTGCATCTCCGGGTTTATATGAAGCAAACAATTTGGTCAAAAATTATGCAAAAAAAAATAGAATGCCTTAGTAAATTACCACGCCACTCTTTACAATTTAAGTAAATCTGTTTGGTGTAATTATGTATTTATAGAAAGATTTTCTTTAGGTTGTATTTTTAATAACAACCATTAGATTTGTTTCAACTTTTGCAAAACGAAATGAAAAAAACATTTCGGGTTGATTTTTTTTTTCAAATCAACTTTGGCAGAAAAATTGTTATCAGCACCAGGGATTTACTTAAACGCGCAAGCGTGATTGTTGTTTTAGTGCGGCGCTCAGAACTGTTCCGCGCTCAAAAATATCATTGCAGAGTGGAACAACTTCCTTAAGACAATATTTTTAAATTGTTAATCATTTGACGTTTGATATTGCTTGTATAATACTGAAAAACCAAATGAAACTTTTTGAAAACTAAATTAAATAGTTTTTAAATGTTTTGAAATTAATCTTCAAAAAAAATCAAACTGTTTTGAAGAGCATTGGCAATAGTAAAAGATTTGTCCTAAACTGATTTGTTTTTCTGTTCCGAACTGCAGTGCAAAATTTTTTTTTGCGTTCAATCCATTATTCATTTCAGTCAAACACATACTTAAAAGTTCTTTTTTCAGGCAAGTTAACCAATCTACGACAATCTTTTTTAAATGTTTTTGAAAAATCGACAACAAAAAATCTTCGTTCGTTGTGATTTTGCTTCAGTCCAAGTTTGCAACCAAATTTTTTAGCATGATCGGAATTCTTTTTTTTGTTTTATATTATTTACTGTTCGAGAAAAACATTAAATATGAGTTTTTTGTGCCATTAGATTTTAGTATTTTGTGGTTCGAGTTTTAGATGCACAATTTTTGTTTATAAATATATTAACTTATTGTTCCGACTTTCGATACGAAAGTAACGGAATATTTGTGCTCGGGGTGGGTTTTTTTTTCTTCAGACAAATTTCGACTCTTTAACTAGCCATTTTTGACAGAATTGTTTTATCATTCGAAAGATATTGTTGTCCTGAGCTCAAATTTGAAAAGATATCTTTACCTGTGATCATTTTTTGTAAAGTTACGGGGGTTTAAAGATTGCCATTTTGGCCAATTTGGGACAATTAACGCGCGATATATTTCGTGTTATTAACGCGTAAGCGGAGAGTTAATCAACCTTAGAAATCGTTCGAAGTTGGTTAAAAGAAGCCTATTTGCCTTAATTGGTTTGTTATAAGGAGCGAAATCTATCCTTTTGTACTTTTTATGGCGTGTGGGGGGATGATTTTTCTTTAAAAAATTTCAAGTTTTAGATTTTTTTTTTTTCATTTTTTTTATTTCATTGAGTTTTTTAATGTTATTACCGCTCGATAAACCTTAAAAGGCAGTCGGAACATTCAGGGCTTTGCTCTGATACGAGCAGTCTTGTTTGTTATTTGCTTATTAATTTGTAGTGTTCGAGGCTACACGTTGAATATGAGTGATTTGTGTCACCCAGCTCAGTTACCACAGCCTATGCAACTGCGCAATATAGCCCAAGTAAATCCCTTTCAATGTCAATATTGGCACTTTTACATTTTAGACAACTTTAAAGTCAAGATTGAATTAAATGAAAGTTGTTGTCGACACTTGCAGTTTAGCACACAAGATTCAGTAACTTTATGGAAATTAGGGTTCAAAACTTACGAGAAAACAAAAACATTTGAAGAAATAGCTAGGCGTCTTTATGTTATAGTTAAATAAAGGAGAATGGTCAAAATTTCAGCTTAATACAAAAACCTCCTATATCTACGAAGAGAACATCAGACGCGGACATTTTCTGATGCGAAGACGCGTGATATTATATATTGAAAGCAAGGGAAGACATACTGAGTAATAAATGATAGAAAAAAAAGAAAATCCGGTTGTTTCAACTATATATTCATAAAAAAATTCTCTAATATTGTGTTTTAAAGAAGCCCTTATAAATTTTGTTTGATTTCTGCAGAAAACAATGAAAACTAATGCTCGGTTTGTTTTCCAAACAATTTTGGCGATCAAAATGAACACATATTTGGCGACGCTTGGAGTTTGTTGGCCGTTTTTAGGAAACTAAACATGAAGGCTTGATTGAGATCTGAGTACAACAAAACATTCCTCGCCCGCAAAATTCATTACAAACTGCAAATTAATGGGTCTCAAATATTCCTCCAAGTCAGCAATTTCATCATTCAATGATGGATATTGCTTGTAGGTGACTGCAAAACCAAATCAGACTTTCGAAAAATTTTAGTGAAAGATTCTGAATTGTTTCTTACTCAGAAATTTTCACTAAAATTTTGAGTAATCTGATTAGTGTTTCGTGTTTTACCAGAAAGACTCGCCAGACTAAAACGGGAGGAGGGGGTGGAACTATACACTCTGGTCCAGTTCCAACACGACGCAGTATTCATTCCCGCTGGTGCGCCACACCAGGTATAAATCAACAATCGAATTCTAGGTTTGGAGCAGAACATCGCAGGTTCGAATCCTGGTAGACTTCAATTGTTAAGCCGAACTACAATTTCATCGAATCAGTAGCGGTTGCGAACATGAATCAGGGGTTCGAATAGCGATGTCCTAGTGTTTTAAGCCGAAAAAATGTGTCGCTTTTTTTAAATGTTTTAGCAATGCGTTTTTTAATGTTTTTAATGATATAAAAAAATATTCTGAATGGTGCATTTAAACTAATAATAAAGGCAAGCGAAAATAAAGTTAATATACATACAAAACGTTTTTTTTGTCCTGAATTTTTTTCCTGGGATTGGCTTCAGTTTCCGTTTTTGTTTCAGGTTCGCAATCTGAATTCGTACATTAAAGCCGCAGTCGACTTCGTGTCAACCGAGAGAGTGAAATATTGTCTGCAGACGACAAACGAGTTCCGGAACCTCTCGGATAGACATGCGAATCACGAGAACAAACTGCAGATCAAGTCTGTCATCTATCACGCAGTCAAGGACTGTTTGTCAGTGCTGAAAAACACGCCGAGCACGTGACACAAACCACGCGACGGAAACCAAGTGACACAAATCACTTGAAACAAACCACGTGAAGCTAATGAGAATATCAACACCCGCGACAGCTTAAAATATTGACAACAAAAGTATATGCCTTGACTTGAAAACTATCCAAAGACAGACTCTTATTACAGTTGACTTGTTTTCTAGCTCCAGTTTTCATTCAAAAATATCAACAAAAACCGACCTTAATATCTCCAAATGTCAACAAAAGCGAATAAAGAGTAGCCATTTTTACCAAATAAAAAAAAATTTTGAAAATTTCAATTAAGTGTAATGTCTAAGGAACTTAGTTTATGGTTAAAG